TATTATTATTTAAATAAACTTAATAATTTTTTTTTTTTTTTTTGTTTTTATAAATTTAAGTGGATCATATATATACCGGCATGTGCCAACAAGGATAGAATGATATAATAAAGATAGTTACATAACACACATGATAAGATTTTTTCTATTATAAGTCAACTACAGTAAAAACATGAAGTTTATTTAATAAAGTACATAAATATAAACGTGTGTTAACGAATTAACAACTTCTTGGTCTGAGTAAAAAAAAAATTTAATTTTCCTGAAATAGAGTCTTAATTTTGAGTTTTGTAAATAAAACAATAAACATTAAGTGAGTTTTTTCCCGCATGAGGTATGACACGATTTGACTCCGAATATCACTATTGTATATCAAGAGAGTTAGTAAAAAAAAGGGGTTAAACCCTTAATTGGTCCTTGAATTATTGTATGGATCCTTAATTTGGTCCATAAACTAAAAAAATCCTTGATTTGTTCCTTGAACTATTGTATGGACCCTCGATTTGGTCTCTAATGTTTACTAATTTGCCTCAAGTTGGTCATTCCGTATAAAAAACAGCTGACGTGTCCGTTACTTAACAGTAAAAAATAGTAACTTAACAACGAAAAATAGTAACTTAACGGTCACGTGTCGCGTTAATAATAAGACACGTCAGACATTAGTTGGTTTTTGTATGGAAGGACCAATTTGAGGTAAATTGGTAAACAGTAAGGACCAAATTGGAGGTTTATACAATAGTTTAGGAATCAAATTAAGAATTTTTTTAGTTTGGAGATCAAATTAGGGATTCATACAATAGTTTAGGGACCAAATTAAGGATTTAACAAAAAAAAATGTGTTAAGTGGCTAATACTCTCAAAATTAAATAGTTAAAGGGCTTTCATGGGTAATGCTTAGGGGTGTTGGCGATGTGGTTTGGTTCAGATTTTAATATTTTTTAAATCAATTCAATTTAATCGGTTAATAAAATTTTTAAAGTAATCAAATCTAATATTATATGATAACCAAACCTATTCGGATCGGTGTGATTCAATCGGATTGATCGGTTTTTATCATTATTAAATATATGAGATAATGTAAAAATATTTTAATATCAAACAGAAACAATAACTATAAAATAAATTAACATTCAAATTAGTAAAAACATAATAAAAGGTATGAATTATAAATAAGTTTTTATACTCATTTACATTTGTAAAAGTTGAAAAGATTTGAAAATTCTTCTCGGTTACATTACTAAAGGCACTAAAAACAATAAAAGATGACTTTAAATTTTTAGTACAGTGTAAATAATTCTTAAATGTTAAAATTAGTTTTTTTTTCTTAATGCACTAATATTTTAATCACATCTTCTAAATCATATTAAAAGTAAATAAAATTTAACATAAATATCACTGAAATTAATTAGAAGCATTCATAATCAAAATTTAAAACTTCTAAACTGAATATCCAATAATAGTAGAATATCAAGATTAGAATATCAAGATTAGATTTAGTATATGGTTTTAAGACTTTTACAATAATACTTTTTTAAAACTTCGTTATGAGAATCATAATATTATTTTAGGAACGAATTAGAAATTCAAGATTCTAAGGGTAAAGGCATAAATCAATCTTTAGGGGATAGAGTTATAGATTAATTAAAATTTTAAAATTAAGGTTAGGATGCATGATTAAAATGGAAAAATAACTTAAGGAATATGAAGATGTTTTATTTTTATTTTTTAATTAAATTAATAAAGTTATTATCTTGTAAAATAAAATTAAAAAATTTAAAATACTACAAAAAAATTATATTATATTATTTAATTAAGTTATTTTATAATTCGATTTTATTTTATAATCGGATAGTTCAAATGATTTGAAAATAAAATCACGATTTGAAAATAAAATCACAAACCAAATTAATTATATCAATTTTATAATTTTATAATTTAAATCAATTAAATTTTATATTGATTTGGATCAATTTTTAATTAAATTAGATCAATTTAAGTCGATCAATATGATGGATAGGATAAGAACACCCGAGTAATGTCGGTCATATCGGTTGACAAAGATGAAAAGTATAAGGTTAAATGCTCATTTTGGTCCCTCAACTTTAGTGGTTTGCACATTTTTGGTCCCTTAAGAATTTTTTGCACTTTTTTTATCCCTCAACTATACGAAATGCACTCCGTTAGTCCTTCTGTTAATTCGGGCCGTTAACTCGCTTAAGTGGCATTTTTTATAATTTTTTTTATGACGTGGCAAAAATAAATTTAAAAAACGTTGATGTGAAATTTTTTTTTAAGCCAACTCATTGCCAACACATCAACTAATTTTGTCTTAATAAAAAATAGAAAATTACAAATTTACCCTCTCCCCTTTTTGATCCATCTTCTTCCCCTCTTTCGATCATCTTCTTCCTTTCTTCTTTTTCTTTTTCTTCTTTTTCTTTCTTCCTCTTCTTTC